TCGTGGAAAAGAGGGGAACACACCTAGTCAAGGACGTGCTTGGAGGGGGGTGTCTCGGCCAGGCAACTGCCTCCCCCCACATATAAAAAAAAAGCACTTTCAATTTGAAAAGGGGGGTGTTGGAGTGTGTGGTTCAGCCGCCACTTGCCACTCACTCTCAGTCTCTGTCTTTGGATTTTAGGATTTTGTTTTTGAACTCTTCTTTGGCTGGAAACTCATTGGAGGATCATGAATGAAAAATACACTTTCAATTTTTCCATTTCGTTTTTGCAAGTGCTGGATTCATGAGCAATGCTTATTTAATTTTCATTATGAAAAGTGCACGTTTTGTTCATCATCTCTACTCGCATTTTATAATTCTGGAAGTGGCACAAGGTGTCTCGGCCTGTACATGTGTTGGAGCAGTACCGGGAAGAAAAGAATGGTGTCACGGACGCTTGAACCAACGTGTGTGCGTGTTGGATAATGGTGTGCGTGGAGTTGGAAGAGTTTCGGTTTTCATTCCAGTATTTCTCTTCATATAGAAAAGTGGTGCACGGTGCCTTTTAATTGTTCCAGCTGGGATAAATAAAATGGGAGAAGTGAAGCAGTGATTAAATTGGAGCATTGGGAGACTGAAGGGAATTAAGTGGGGTGAATGTGTAAGGGAGCATCAACCTCACGTTTCGTTCTTTTTCTTTAGAAGTTTTTATTAGTTTTAATCCAATGAAAAAGATGCACACAGTGATGAATTTGTGATGGGACAATTGCAGCAATTGTTGGAGAATGAAGAGGTGATAGATAGGTAGATGTATTGAGTATGGTGGCTGATTTTGAGAGAAGAAGTTTTGAGTTTTTACTGGATGAAGAGTCACGGCTGAAGAGTAGCACACAGCCACAAGCTTGATTTTCAGTTTGTGCGCTTACGTTCTTTAGATTTGGGTGAAGAGGTGTCACGGCCTGGGTAGATGGCATTTATTTTTTTTTTGCGTTTCATTATCACATTAAGCGTTGGAATGTCGTTTTATTTTGCTTAGCTCTAGAAGGTTTTTTATATTGTGTTGGTGCTTGAATCGTGGTGTGATTTTGGTTTACAATTTCCAAGCTTTATTTCAATGTGCATTTAATTTGTCAGCTCAACATTGCATTTTAATAGCTGAATGGTGTTTGGATATTTATCTATTGCATTGTCAGTTTATTGTTTACGTTCACTATGTTGTTTACTTGTTGGCTTTAAGTTCTACTGTTCAGTGTTACTTTTATTTGTTGTTTCGAGTTTTTCCTTTCCTGCATTTCATCTGTCCTCACTTGCTTATGATCTGTCAGTCTCAATGTAAAACTATTTCGTCGTTTCTTTAGAGACCGTTCGGTCTATTGTTTTCCACATTTCTTTTCCGCATTCTCAATTATTTTGGGTGTATTTAATTTCCAGTTTTAAATTCAGTTCATTTAAAATCACAAAAACACTTTCAACCCCCCCACTACGTGTTTGATCTGAGACTGAACCCAATTTGGTCCTTGAGAGACGACCTAGGAGTCCTCTTCCTAGTCTATACTGCATTCTTTTATGCAACAACTTTTGTTGGGAGGTGCGACCCTCTCATCAAAATGCGCCGTGCCGGGGACCATGGTTCGTCTTAGGTCTTTTGTTGTGTTAGTGTGTTGTGTTTTGTCTTGTCTTGTGATGTTGATGTTGTTGGTTTTTGTGTACGTGTGCATGTCAATTGTGTTGTGTTTTGTTTTTCGTATTTTGAGTATTCTTTCTACATTTCCCTTCTCTTTCCATGTCTACCTTTTGATTTTGTGAATACTGCTTATTCTGCTAGTGCCTCTGATTATGATTCTCCTTCTGCATGTTACTTTGATTGTGATTCATATTCTGCTGATTTTTGTTGAGATATATGGCTCATCCTCTCCGCTTCTGAGAGTTCTCTTTGTGAACCGGTTCCACTACTGAGGATGATATTCATTGCTTTCTCAAGACTGGACTGATACATTTGCTGCCCAAGTTTCATGGTTTTTGCAGGTGAATGCCCACACAGACATTTGGAGGATTCCACAGCATTGTGCTCTTCAATGAAGCCTCCAAATGTACCGGTGATCACATGTTCTTAGGGCATTCCAGCATTCATTACAAGAAGCAGCAAGGGATTGGAGCCTTATTGTCTTCCTCCAGGATTCTACCTTCTTGGGAAGATCTTAAGCATATGTTCTTGGATGAATTCTTCCCCGTCATATGGTTACAACAACGTCCTGGATGAATGACCCATTTTGGGATGGTATGATGCTCCACACATCAATATCAGGAACACCATCTCAGAATGCTTGTATGCCTCCGCCAGTCCAGCAACAACACATCTGCAACTTTATGAGTCTGCCCAGATAGCTCCTCAACCTTCTACTTCTGAGCTTACATTGCAGGAGTTGTTGGAGCAGATGACCATGCAGAACCTTCAGTTTCAGCAAGAGAACAGAGCACACCTTCAATGTTGAGCATCATATAGGCAGATGACCACTCAACTCATCAGGAACAGTCCAAGATTTAGAGGAATCACCATTTCAGACTGTTCATTCCTGATGATGATAGTGGCATCAACAGTAGGATGGGAGAAGAGTCATGAGCTATTGTTGCGCCACCTACTTTCCCATCCCTATGGCCCCACTCTTGCACCTGAGGAGACTGTGAAGATTTGAGGACCAGGCAGTATAAAGATTATTTTGAATCAGGTAGACAATTTATCTTCACACCTTCCACCACTTTTCCAGATCTTTAGGGAAGTGGAAGAACAAATACTAATTTTGATATGCTTCATGATTATGGTTGATGGGTATGTTGATGATTATTTGTTGATGAGTCTTTTTAATTTCCCTCTCTACATGAATGAGAAACCATTTTGCTCATCAATGTTGATATTCTCATCCATGCATGAACATGAATCTGAGTCTGTGATTGATATGTTTCTGAAATTGAAATTGATTCATGTTCTGAGAGTTTATCTGTTGTTCAGCCTGTTAAACTGGGATTGGGTGTATACCTACCCTACTGTCTTTCTTTGGAACCACATTGCACTAACCCTTTGCAGGAGGTACAACTGAATTTGACCAACAAATCACCCCACGTGGACAAAAAGGTGCTGTACACTGACAAAAGCTTTCAAGATCATAGGCAACCTGCTGAACCCTCATCAACAATCACTTCTTCTTAGATCCAGCTGTGAAGACATTTCCCTGCTGATCAATTGGAGGGATGAGCAGTTTTCCTCAAAACTTCTTTGCTGGATCCTGTGGTGGAAGACATCTCCCTGCAAGCCCAAAATTGGCAACTGCCACCACATCAGGGAGTTTTTCTTTCTCTCTTCCTCCCCTTTCCCTACTTTTATTGCACTTGTCCATGATCTGTTCACTGTTTTGATTTTTGATCTATGCTGTGACACATTGAGGACACTGTGTAGTTTAAGTGTGGTCTATTGGGGGAGATTTAATTTTCTCGTTAGTTTTGTTTTTTTGTTTTCTGTTTAAATTTTTTTTCTTTTCTAGTTGTTTTTGTGTGTCTTGTGTACAGTTTGACATTGTTCTCTTGATTTTCTCTGGACTTTGTTTGTTTGTAGATTTCTTTCCTTCATTGATACTCTGATTGTTGAAATCCTTGCTTTTCTTTCTGCTTGGAAGATGATTAGATGTTTGAGAGGTTGATTTGATTGTGACAAAATTACCCTGTGTGAGATTTGAGCCACTTATGTTCTTTCTTGTGTGTGATATGTCTCTTGATTGCTTGCACATATGCCTTGGCTTGACTCTTGTTGATAATTTTGATTGATATGCATGTTTGGAAGTGATAAAGGCATTTTGTTTTTTGAGCCTCTTCTAGCCAAATAAGCCTAACCTGTTCCTAAACTTTGAAACCCTTTTTGAGCCTAATACTTTCTCCTCATTTCTTTGTTTTGAAGCTCATACACT